TTAATGATCATTAAATTGGTGGCATTTATTGTTGCTGAGCAAGAAGAATCTAAAGAGACGAATGGGTTCTAGCGTCAGGTTTGCCTTGGTTTTTTCCTCCTCCTCGATGATGATTTCCATGTGTGTCTATGTAGATTTCAGAGTCACTCTTCATCATTCTTCCTTTTCCTAGGGCATATGCGGCCAGCAAAGAATCACATGCTACTTTGGTGTTTCATAATCTCTTGGGTGAGATTGACCAGCAGTATAGCCGCTTCCTACAAGAGTCCAATGTTCTCTATCAGCACAATCTGCGAAGAATCAAGCAGTTCCTTCAGGTGTGATGAGAAACTGAGGAGAAGGAGAAACTGGACCTGCAGAGTAGGGTGTTAGGTTTCTTTCCTGGAAGTATTTTTTTATCTCATTTGGCTAAATAATGAGACTCTATCTTGTATTTACAATGAAAAGAGAAGTAATTAGCCCTTTTACAAATTTCTGCATACTCACGGTTGAGCATCTTACCTGAAATTCACTTCCCCTGTCACAGCTGAAGGAATGAAGTGATTATTATGCCAGCAGGTTAATAACGTGGTTATAAATAGGTCTCCCCATAGAAGATGACTCTCGCCTGTAAATGTTAAAAGTTTGACCATTACTCCTTGACAAGGTCAGTTGCCTCCCTGTAACACCAGGATGACACACTGTGCACAGACTTGGCCTAATGTGCCTTCTCTTGCAGAAATACCTCATGGTAACCACCTTTTTTTCTTGGTGGCTTCATCCCGCACTGATTTCAGCCAGGCACTGAGGCTTTTGTTCTATTGTTTCGTATAGTATATGTAACACTTTCCTCAGTTTAAAAGGAAATTAGTTGTAAGTTAACAAAGTTCAGCCCATGTCTGCTGGTCTGTTGCTGCCTTTTCATTCTCCTTCTCTTCTACTTACAGAGCAGATACCTTGAGAAGCCAATGGAGATTGCCCGAATTGTGGCCCGGTGTCTGTGGGAAGAGTCTCGCCTCCTCCAGACTGCAGCCACCGCAGCCCAGGTGAGACCTGGGAAGAAACAAAGCACTGGTCTGGGAGGAATAAGAAATCAAACAACTTGGGGCCGGCCCAGTGGCGCACTGCTACAGTGCGCTGCTTGGGAGTGTGGCGGCGCTCCCGCCGAGGGTTCGGATCCCACATACAGACCGGCTGCTCACTGGCTGAGCGAGGTGCGGGCGCAACACCGAGGGTTGCGATCCCGTTGCCGGTCCCGGTCCGGTACGGGCGCAACACTGAGGGTTGCGATCCGTTGCCGGACACGAAAAAAAAGACAAAAAAAGCAAAAAAAAACAAAAAAAACAATGTCCTCTTTATTCCATATAACATGTCAGTAAAATTTACACTAAATGTTTGACACGAAAAAAAAGACAAAAAAAGCAAAAAAAAAAAAAAAACAATGTCCTCTTTATTCCATATAACATGTCAGTAAAATTTACACTAAATGTTTGGATTTTGGATTTTTAGATTAGGGATGCTCAAGCAGTATGTATTCTGCAAATATTCCAAAGTCAAAAGAAATCCAGACTTCTGGTCCCAAGCATTTCAGATAAGGGATACTCAACCTGTATGGGAACTAGCAAGAGTTCAGAAAGGTCATTGTGTACAAGATAAATGTTTTAAGAATCACAGTAGTTTTCACAGTAGCAGCAGTAATCTGTTAGAAGATATAATGGATGAAAAGATCTGATTCATAATAGCAAAAACAAATGCATACAATATGCATATATTATTGATATAAATGAGAAAAAATCTGGAAAGATACATACTAAATCATTAAAGTTATAGGAGACGTTTTTACTTTCTCTGAGGGGTTTTATTTCCATTAATATCCTATAATCAATGAAAAAAAGAGAAAAAAGATCCTATAATCAGGGACTTTTTTTTCCCTCCCCCCCCCCGCCTTTGTTTTTTAAGTTCTGGAAAAATACATATAAAATAAAATTTACTATTATAACCATTTTTAAGTTTACAGTTCAGTGGCGTTAAGTGCATTCACATTATTGTGCAACCAGTTTCCAGAACTCTTTCAAAACTAAAATTCTGTGTGCATTGAACAAAGCTCCCCTTTCCCCTTTCCCCAGCCTCTGGCAGCCATCCTTTCGCTTTCTGTCTCTACACATTTGGCTGTGCTAGGTATCTGTATAAGTGGAATCATACATTAGTTGTTTTTCTGTGACCGGCTTGTTTCACTTAATGTCCTCAAGGTCCGTCCATGTTTTACCACGTGTCAGATTTTCCTTCTTTTTATTTTATTTTTTTGTCTTTTTTTTTTTTTTTTTATCTTTTTTCCGTGTCCGGCAACGGATCGCAACCCTCAGTGTTGCGTTTCTCCATTCGTTGTCGATGGACACTTGGGTGGCTTCCATCTTTGACTGTTGTGCATAATGCTGCTGTGGACGTGGGTGTATACTTTTTTCTTTTTCTTTTTTTCTTTAAAAAAATTTTTTTTCACTTTTTTCTTTTCAAAGACAAACATGTAGCAGGAACATAGAAGAAACAACATCTAAGTCTAACCTAGAGAATCAGGGAAGGCATGGCAGAGGAAGGAAGTAGTGTTGGAGCTAAGACTTCAGGCTGATTAAAAGTACATCAGGCAGATGGTGAGAGAGAGCACTCCAGGCAGAAAGCAGATCATGTTCAGAGACTGCAACATAAACTCGCATGTTCTCGGGAGGAGTGTAGAAAGTTCAGCATCTGGCTGTGTGGGAGAAGAGAAGCTAGTTAAGGGCCACATGAAGATGTTTTTAATTCGTCGTGCTGCCTAGTAATCGGGCCTTGGATGAGCAGTTTAGCACCAGGGGCCGAACTGCCTGGGTCTGAGCCCCACAGCTCTACAACTTGCTTTGTAATCTTAAGCAAATTATTTACTCTGTTTCTCCCGTGGGAATGGTAATAGTACCTACGTCATAGAATTAATTAGTACGTGTAAAATGCTTAGAATGGTATCTAACACATAAATGTGAAATAAACGTTAACTGCTTTCTGTTGCTGCTCCTGTCACCATCATGCCCATCACCACTGTCGTGAGAAATGAGGACCCACTGAAGAATTTTAAGCAGAAAACTGATGCAGGTGACCAGGAGACAAGCAAAGAGGCCCTTGCCCATGCGTCACCAGGGTTCTCTGTTGTGGAGAATCTTTATGTTTTCATCCTGTTCAACAAGATAAAAATATTGGGTTTAAGTCAGTTTGGTTAGAGGCTCCAACTCTACCATGGGAGGTAGGAAAGAAGATATCCCAAGGATGTTTTCAATCATATAGATCAGGGGTCTGCAAACTACGACCATGGCCCAAGTCCAGCCTGCTGTCTGTTTTTGTAAATGAAGTTTTTTCAGAACCCAGCCATACTCATTCATTTATGCACTATCTGTGGCTACTTTCTTGCTGCATTGGTGGGGCTGAGTATTTGTGACAGAGACTGTTTGACACAGAAAGCCAAAAATATTTACTACTCGGCTTTTAGAGAAAAAGTTTGCAAACCCTGATATACAGCTAAAACTTGGATATTTGTAGGCCTCAACCAGACCTCACTGTTTTTCTCTGTTTACATCATCTGGCATGTTCTTCAATGTCTAGTATGGGATGACATCTCTTCTTCTAGTCGATGGAACCCTGCTACCCAGGGGCTGTCAGGGTGGTTAGGATTATAGGTACACAAACACTCAAAGTGAGAAAAACACAGAGGAGGATGTGAGTCATTTTGTCTAAGGAAATGGAGTAAGATTTCATAGGAGAGCAAACATTCGAACTGAACTGGAAGGTGAGTGAATTCAGGTGTGCTTGGGCAGAAGAGCATGCCAGGCTGAGTGGCCAGTGTGTGGAGAGGTAAAGTGTGAAAACGTGCTACGTAGGGGGAAGAGCTCGAGGCACAGAGAGGGAAAGTTTAAGTTGTTACCAGATTGTGTGAAACACCTTTCTGTGTGAGGCAGAGATGTTTATACCTGGAAGCAGTGGGGAGCCAATAAAGTTTTTACAAAGGGTTTAGAAGTGGGTTTCTCTGGGTGATAATTAATCACATCTTTTTTCCCTCTTAAGTGCTGTACCAATCGAGAAATAGACATGGGAATCAAATACAGATTAAAATATCAGCTGAATTGTTGGTACAGCTAGACGGGAAAGCCATGGCTTGAGCTGGTAACCACAGTGGCTTTTTATAAAGACTGTGCCCTGCATTAGATCTTGGGGTGGGGAGATTGGGTCTGCAGAGGAGTACCTCGTCACCCATCCGTGTGGAGCTTCAGAGACCATAAACTAACACCCCAGAACTGCTTCTAGAAACCAGGCCCTTGCCCCTGCCTCAGGGGTGCCACAGGAAGGCAAAAGGGAGAAGGAAGAGGAAACAGCTTAAGTGCTGGGGCTCTTTGAAGATCTCTGTGTGCAGAGTCTTTCTCTCAGTTTTACCAATCAGATGAGTCACTCCCGCTGTGGAGAGTCTGGGGGCAGGGGAGGGCTGCCTTACCAAAACTTCTATGCAGTTTGTATTCTGTGGGCTTGGAGAGGGTCCATGGGAAAAGGGAGAGAACGTCTCCCTCTAAAACTGTCATGTTCAGATCTATCTTGAAGACTTCTGGGAGCAATGTAGAGAACAGATTGGAAGTGAGAGAGATTAGAGGCAAAGAGATCAAGAATTGGGGCCTGATCTGAGCCACTGGCACTTGAAATCAATTTGAGAGATTACAAAATATAGAGCCAGAAGGATTTGGTGACTCAGTGTCAAAGTGAGGAAGAAATCAAAGACCCCTGAGGATTTCTAGCTAGGAAGACTGAGTAGATAATGTCTTTCCTGGACTCTCAGTTCTGTGCCATTGATCAATATCTCTGTCCTTGAGCCACTTCCACACTGTCTTTATCACTGTAGCTTCTACATGGTCTGTTAGAAGATGTCCTGTTACTTTACTTTGACAAGACCTATCATTTCGTTTTTAAGTTTCATGTGCTATTTGACCTTTTCAAGGTACCAGCCTCCTCTTCTCCCCAGAGTTAATATCTCTTGATTTGGAATTTCATCCCTGGGGCAGGGTGGATCTTTTTTATTGTCCATGTTATCAATACAGAAATGTATCAGACACCGTGTTTAAATAGGCATCAACATCAGCCATCATAAATTGTTCTGAAGTTTTTGACGTACCTACCCATGAGCTTTTTGAAGGCAGGGACCGTGTCTTGGTTCAACATGTGGTCTCCTAGAACATTACATAGGTTGTGTTTATAATATGACCTGTCCATAAAAAGGCAGCGATACAGGTAGCTCTAGGCAAGGGCTTCCAGGGCACCACTGGCAGTGCCTCAGCCTGTGTCCCTTCCTCTCACAAACAGGAAGGGGAGGTATGGTGGGATGGAGACCAGACAGGGGAATTTTTTTCTCCACATGTGTGTTCATATGTGTATTGACTACTTTTTGGCAGCAAGGGGGCCAGGCCAACCACCCCACGGCTGCTGTGGTGACAGAGAAGCAGCAGATGCTGGAGCAGCACCTGCAGGATGTCCGGAAGAGAGTTCAGGTGAGGCGGGTCTCGGCAGGGAGCCTCTTCTTGGGGATATTGCTTGTGGGTCGCGTGTGCCTTTTTTGAGGTTTTGGCTTCATTTTAATTCTTCTCAGAAACCTTTTCCCTCTCCTCTACGAGATCTTTTTTCACTTCTGTTTTTTGTTTGTTTGTTTTAAACAGGATCTAGAACAAAAAATGAAAGTGGTCGAGAATCTTCAGGATGACTTTGATTTCAACTATAAAACCCTCAAGAGTCAAGGAGGCAAGTGAATATTAGAGACGTTAAAATCTTCTGTAGAAAGTGAGTGTGTGTTACTGAGTTTAAGGACTTGTTTGTTTCAGCTCTGTTCAGACTTTGGGCGGGGGTGGTCGTGTGCACACGCAGGGGCTGCTGGTGCTTAAGGGAGCCTAGTTATTAAGGATGGGAGTATTCTCTCAGGTCAAGGAGTTTTTCCTTCTTCCCCAGACATGCAAGATCTGAATGGAAACAACCAGTCGGTGACCAGGCAGAAGATGCAGCAGCTGGAACAGATGCTTACTGCCCTTGACCAGATGCGGAGGGTAAGAGCCATGGACAACTCCGCCCAAGTGTCTCGCTCACCCGTAGGATTTCGGCATCTCTTGGCAGAACTTTCTTGGTTTCTAATAAGTTCCTTCTCTGGAATTGACTAAAGACTGTGGTTAGAGACAGTTTGAGGAAATGTTTTCTAACTTTGTTTTGGTTTCCAAACAGAGCATTGTGAGTGAGCTGGCAGGGCTTTTGTCTGCGATGGAGTACGTGCAGAAAACTCTCACGGACGAAGAGCTGGCTGACTGGAAGAGGCGGCAGCAGATTGCTTGCATTGGAGGCCCTCCCAACATCTGCCTAGACCGTCTTGAAAACTGGTAAAAGCTGAAAGGGAAGCTTTTTCTTTTAGAAAGCTGTGTAAAATTATGGGCATAATTGCAGGTCCACAGAGTTGGGACTATATCTCTAGGGTGAGGACTTTTACATACTCAAACTTAGTCCAGGAGTTAAAGCTTTCACTTTATTTGGACAATTTTTTTTTATAAGAATGTATTTATATGACTATATTCTATATATATTTTATTTAATAATTTGAATAAAGCTTTTGGTTTAACTGTGTTTAACATACAGTCTGAATTTGTATTTTAGTTATTTTAGTAATCTAAGACAATGCATGTTCTTTATATGGGATAAGAATGTATTTATATGACTATATTCTATATATATTTTATTTAATAATTTGAATAAAGCTTTTGGTTTAACTGTTTAACATGCAGTCTGAATTTGTATTTTAGTTATTTTAGTAATCTAAGACAATGCATGTTCTTTATATGGGTGCAGTCTGAATTTGTATTTTAGTTATTTTAGTAATCTAAGACAATGCATGTTCTTTATATGGGAAGAAATATCAAATACGGAAAATCAATAAAGAAAGATCATTTAAAATCTAATCATGTAGGGCTGGCCTGTGGCTCACTTGGGAGAGTGTGGTGCTGACAACACCAAGTCAAGGGTTAAGATCCCCTTACCGGTCATCTTAAAAAAAAAAAGAAAAAAATCTAGTCATGTAGTGGTACCAGTAGTTAAAATTTTTGTGATTACCATTCTAGACATGTCATTAGGTATATACACATAAAGATAGAAATCTATACAATTTTACATGAGGGATCATTCTTTGTATACTCTTCTGTAATCTGCTCTTTTACTTTCATCCATTCAGCAAATCTTTATTTTATTTTTTTTATTTTTGGTGGCTGCCTGGTACAGCGATCTGAACCTTTGACCGTGGTGTTACAGCCCTGTGCTCCCCTGAGCTAACCGGCCAGCCCCTTTCTTTATTGAGCACCTTCTTGTGCAAGGCTTGGTAATGAGCATGCTGCACCAGCTTAACTTAGGACAGAAACTTGACATGAGGGGGACCCGGATACGTGGAGCATGAAACCAGAAATTTAGGACAACTTGACATGAGAATGCCTGTCTGTTCATATCCTTACTAATCTTGAGTATCGTTAATTTACTGAAAGCAATTTTAAGTGCTTCCTGATCAGGGAACCAGGAAGTTCTGGGAATGGGAAGATAGAAGTGCCAGAAGGGAGCCAGGGAGCTCAGAAATCTCTGCAGCTATCCTCTGCCCCCTCTGTTCACCTTCTCTCTTTGAGGTCTTTTAGTCTTTATTGAGCTAGTGGTAGACCATCGAAAAACGTCATTTGTACTTGCAGACTTTATCTCCATTGAGAGATCATTTTGTGAAGAAAAGTTCTTGAGGGCCGGCCCGGTGGCTCACTGCTATAGTGCGCTGCTTGGGAAGCGCGGTGGCGCTCCCGCCGAGGGTTCGGATCCCGGGAGTTGAATTATCAGCTTAAAATTAAAGTATGCATTGACAAGTAAGTACTCCTAATCTCAGTTCCTTTTCTTCAGATGAGAGACAGAAAAATGAGAGTTTTGACAGGTGTCATTTGTACTTGCAGACTTTATCTCCATTGAGAGATCATTTTGTGAAGAAAAGTTCTTGAAAACCTTTCAGTGCGCTGTCATTTATGCGCCTGAACAAAACCACAAGCAAAAAGACAAAAAGGAAAAAAAAAAAAGAAAAGTTCTTGAAAACCTTTCAGTGCGCTGTCATTTATGCGCCTGAACAAAACCACAAGGCTGGTGCTATAGATTTGAGTTGTGATTGCTATTGTGACCATCAGTCCTCTTTTTCTTTATTTAGTTTTTTACTTGTAAATAAAATTTACGCATATAATATAAAACTGAGAATATAGAGAGAGAACGGATCTTTTTTTGTTGTTGTTCCACACTTTACCATATAGTGGAACACTTTAAAAATTTCACAATACCTTTCAAAATTTAAAATGCTCATACCCTTTGAAGAGATTAGAAAAGAGAAAATGTATACTTATTTTTAGGTAATATAATTATCTGGAAATTTCATGAGAATAAACTGGAAAACAATTATTAGTGAAATAAGGGCATTGGCAAAGATGTTAGGTTTAATAAGTAAATAAATATGCAATAATTAGTAACTGTGTATTAGCATTATAAGAGAAAAATGATCTCACAATAAGTTCATCGTATCCCCATACTGGCCAGACGTCCCCCACACAGGAAAAAAAAAAGGAAGCAAAAAAAGAAAAATGATCTCACAATAAGCAACAGAGATAAAAAATATATTGTGATAAAACTTAGAAATATTTAGGATCTATTTGAAGAAAACTATGAAATTTTAGCTGTGGAGGGATATTTTAAAAATTGATGAGACAAATCATATTTCTGAGTTGTAAACTTGTAATTTTACTATAAAGATGTTGATTCTTCCCAGTCAGTGTAGCACCAACCAAAATGTGAATAGTATTTTTAAAAATCTACAAAATGCTTTTCAAGTTATAACTTAGGTGAAAAAAGTAAGCAAAGATAGTAAACAAATTTGTTTTTAAAAAAAAAAATTTTTTTTTGACAGCTGGCCAGTCCAGGGACTTGAACCCTAAAATATTTTAATTATGGGAAAAAAACAAACAAAAAAACCACTTAACATTTACCATCTTAACCATTTTTAAGTGTACAGTGGAGTAGTGTTAAGAATATTCACATTGTTGTACAACAGTTCTCCAGAACATTTTCATCTTGCAAAACTGAAACTCTATACCTATTAAATAATTACCCCTCACTTCTCCTTCCCTCTGGCCTCTGGCAAGCACCATTCTACTTTCCAAAAAGTCTTTTAAAATAAATAAAAATAGTAGGGGAGTAGTGATACGGGAAGCTGCCCTGCTAGATATTAAAATATATCACAAAGTTTCAGTTACAAAATTAGTGTGTTACTAGGGCAGGAATAAACTGATCATTGAAACAGAATCTAAAGTCCAGAAATGGAACTCAAGTTTATATAAAGAATTAATAAATGTTCAAAGTATTATCTCAAATTGGTTATGAAAGGATGGATTATTGAGTTAGGACAGGATGGATTATTCAGAAAGTGGTTTTGGGACAACTTGATATTGAGGGTTCAAGTGGAAAGTTAGAATTTTACTTTTTATGGTTCATCAGAATAAATTCTAGATGTATTTACACATTTAAAACAAAAGTGTCTTGAAAGTATAGGTGAATATATAATGAAATGGTGGTAAATGGCAAAATGGTACCACTGCTTTGGAAAAAAGTTTGGCAGTTTCCTGAAAAGTTAAACATGCACTTACCCTATGACCCAGTCATTCTGCTCCCAGATATGAACCCACAAGAAATGAAGGCATATGCACAGGAATGTCCATTAACAGGTGAATGCGCAGTGACAGGAGGATGAATGACTGATTTGTGGTGTGTCATACAATGGAATACTACTTATTTACAAAAAGGAATGAACCGTGAATACCTGCAACACTCAGCAAAATACTTAGGCTGAGTGAAAAAAGCCAGACTAAAAAAAAAAGTACATACTTTATGTTTCCATTTATATAAAATTCTAGAAAGGCAAATGAGTCTGTAGTGACAGAAAGCAGATCAGTGGTTGCCTGAGGACAGGGGCGGGGGTGTAGAGTATGGGATCGGGGATGGGTTACAAAGGGGCACAGGGAAACTTTTGGGGGTGACGGATATGTATGTTATCTCGATTGTGCCGATGGCTTCACAGGTGTGTGCAGTATTTATCCATAAATCAACCTCATCAAATTGTACATTTTAAATAGTGCAGTTTATTGGTTGTCAGTTATACATCAAAGCTGTAATACAAAAAAGGAATGTTAAAAAAAGAAATATAGGTTAGACATGAGGAAGAACTTCCTGATAACTAGGACTATTAGGTTCTAAAATGTAATATATGGAAAGATGTCTTCTGAATGGTTAAAAAATCAGTTTTTATCTGTAAACCTACATGAGTGCACTATTTAATAAATAGCTATTATTTTTAAAGCATAGATGAATATATAGCAATATATTGAAATGGAGAAGAACTTTTATTAATTTTATTTATTTCTTTCTTATTTTTTATCCCCCCCAAGAAGAACTTTTAAACAGTATTCAAAATCTTAAAGAAAAGGAAAGACAGAAATGTGACTGTATAATAAACTATATATTCAAAACATAGAGTTAAAGAGTGAACCTTTCTTATTTTTTATCCCCCCCAAGAAGAACTTTTAAACAGTATTCAAAATCTTAAAGAAAAGGAAAAGACAGAAATGTGACTGTATAATAAACTATATATTCAAAACATAGAGTTAAAGAGTGAACACACCAGAAAGAATATTTCTAGCTTGGGGGTGCTCTGAGTTGCAAGTAACAGCAAACCTTTGCAGAAAACCCTGTGTGGCTTAAATAATAAGGACTTTTGCAAACCATTATAACTGGAAATGCAGAGTTTGGGCAAGTTCCTGATGATGGAGACACAGTGACTCATTGATGTTCTCAAGGGCTCTTCTTTCTTCTCTGCCATCATAAGTATCACCTGCATGCTAAAGTTCCATGTGGGTTGTTCTTAAGACCACAGGCTTCCTTGCTCATGTTTGGTTGAAGCTGTGGAATATAAATCCAGCCTGGGAGACCATTCCCTCCCTTTGGTCTGATTGAGACAATGTTGGTCATGTCTTCACCCCTGGACCATTGTGCTGTGGGCATATTATATTCTAATGAACTTAATGACCAGGCTTCCCCTGGAGGTGGGGATTGAAAGGCTACCTGGGCAGAATCAAGCTTCTGTCAGGAAGGGGGAAAGTAGGTGCTGAGTAGGCACCCAACTGTGTTTACTGCTCAAGTGTGTACAGGATTGTATGTTTATATAAAATATGTAATGTTTAAAGAAACTTTCAGGGGCCGGCCCGGTGGCGCACTGAGAGTGTGCCGCTTGGGAGTGCGGCGGTGCTCCCGCCGAGGGTTCGTTCGGATCCCATGTGGAGACTGGTTCCCGCTCACTGGCTGAGCGCAGTGTGGGCACAACACCGAGGGTTGCGATCCCGTTGCCAGTCCCCAGTACGGGCGCGACACCAAGGGTTGCGATCCCGTTACCGGTCAGTAAAAAAGACAAAAAAGACAAAAAAAAACAAAAAAGAAAAGAAACTTCCAGGAGCACAGGAGTTTTTCCATCAGAGTAAATAACATGTGGTCAAAGTAGGCTTTTTGGAGAAACACAGGGCCTGTTTTATTAACAACAGTCTGTGTTCTTAACAGAGACTCCGGGGATGTGGCAGCTCTCAGAGGGTAAGTTCAGCCTAGAAGCTTCTTTTTGTTCAGTTTAATCTAATTTTATCCTTGGGCACCCAGTCACCTCTGTGGTTGGTTTTTTCTCTTGTGATTCAGATCCCGGAAATTTAACATTCTGGGCACAAATACAAAAGTCATGAACATGGAAGAGTCGAACAATGGCAGCCTGTCTGCAGAATTCAAACACTTGGTATGTGGGAAGAGCCTGCACTCCCCTTCACAAACAGCATCTGGCAGAGGAAGAGGGCAGGGGAGAGCCTCCCGTGACAGATGGCTTTTTCTTTTCTTGCAGACCCTGAGGGAGCAAAGATGTGGGAATGGGGGCCGAGCCAATTGTGACGTGAGTTTTGTTGGGGATGAAAGCCAACTGGGAGGGTTTTCTTTGAGGGGGTAGAGAGAGAAAGAGCCTCCCTATTGCCCAGAATTAGAGACATCAACCTGCTCTTTCAGCCATAGTCATTCAGAAGTCACTGTGGGCCATTGTGACATGATCACAAGTCACATGTGCCATGGAATTCTCTGGCTTGTAGCATTTCCTTGATTGCTGGGCAGTTGGCTCCTCATTAAGAAGTGGAAAGTCCCTTACTGAGTGGTTATCCACACCCATCTGGTGGAAAAATAGGTTTCTACCTTGCCTGGGGCTTTCCAAATTCCCCTTCCAACTTCTGCCAGCTGTGCTGCTTGGCTTCATTTTTAGTGACCTGTTTTTCTCACTGAGGTGGGAGTAAGGGTGTAAAAGTAATAAATCTGAGTTAAACATTAAAAAAAAAAAAAAGGAAACCTGGCTTGTTCTTTATCCCCCTTATTTATTTCCTGCCTCCCATTGATACAGATTATTGGATTCTTGGTGTCAAGAATAAACTTTTTTTAAAAATAGGTAAATGTCACAAAAACTAGTCTTCAGTCATTTTTTAAATATTCTGACACCCTGTTCTTTTTCTGATGTTTGTTGCCTGAGCCAGTCTCTCTCTTTTCTAACATGTAGTGTGCTTTAAAAAAAAAAAATTGAATTTATAATGCCCGACAGTAGTTAAAGAGTAAGATAGTCTATGTGCAATGAAACAGGAAAATGTACATGGAATATTTATTTAGAAAAAGCAAGATGTGGGGGCCGGCCCGGTGGCGCACTGGAATAAGTGCACCGCTTGGGAAGCGCGGCGGCACTCCCGCCCGAGGGTTCGGATCCCACATACAGACTGGTTCCCGCTCACTGGCTGAGCGAGGCGCGGGGGCGACACCGAGGGTTGCGATCCCGTTGCCGGTCCCCGGTCCGGTATGGGGGCAACACTGAGGGTTGCGATCCGTTGCCGGACACGGAAAAAGACAAAAGACAAAAAAAAAAAAAAAGAAAAAGCAAGATGTGAAATAATTTGAGTAGTATATTAGTATATTTGTTTTAAAAATATGGTACACTATTTTGTGTATTCATATATGTATTTAAAAATTCTGGAGGGATATACACCAAGAAGTGCCTAGGTATCATCACTGTTGTTGGGATCCAAGGCTACTCTATACTCTATCTGTAATCTTTGCATTTTAAATTGGATGTGTTACTTTTGTAATCAGAAAAAGTTTAAAAAAATGAATTGGCATTTCATTTCTGAGAATTCATCGGTAACTCTTGTTCAAAATAAAGTTAGGGCTGGCAAGTTAGCTCAGTTCAGTTAGAGTGCGGTGCTGATAACACCCAGGTCCAGGATTCGATCCCTGTACTGGGAAGCTACAAAAAACAAAAACAGAAAACAGCAACACACACACACACACACACACACACACACACACACACACACGGTTGCTATATCACTGGTGGGAGTAGAAATTAAGTCACTTTGGAAAACAGTTCAGCATTATAAAAATGAACATACCCTGTAAACCAGCAGTACCGTTCCCTGGATTTAACAGTAGAGAAATTTTTGCATATGTGTTCCAGGAGACATGTACAAAATGTCATATCAGCCTGATTGCAAGCTCTAAATACAACACAAATAAATACCTATCAACAGTAGACTGGATAAGTGATTTGTGGTGTAGTCGTACAACAGAGTGATATACAGCCGTGAAACGGAATAAACTGCAGATGCACACGACCACACGGGTTCATTTCACACCGCGTGAAAAGTGAGTCACAAAAGAATACGTGGAGTAGATTCCATGTATATAGTAAGGTTCACCTATATCCCAAACTAAACAGTATGTACGTTATTTAGAGAAATAAATAAAACTGTAAAGAAAAGCTAGGAAGTGATAAACCCAGAAGACAAAACAGCAGTTACTTCTTAGGGAGGACGGAAAGGGATGAGGCTGGAGAGGGGAACCCAGAGAATTTCAGTGGTCGTGGTCTTTTCCTTAAACTGGGTGGGGGATTCACAGGTGTTCACTGTAATGTTATTCTTCGTACCTTACACTTTTTATAAACAACTTATTGCATCTATATAGTATGACAGTAAAAACTGGGTAAAAGATCAGACTGAGGATTGTAGCACTGGAGGGTCTCAGTGCTGAAGAGAGCACTTGCTTAGAGTTGTGACCCTGGTAGTTTGCGTGTGGCTACCTGGTGGCTCACCCTTCTGAGTGTAGTGAGGCTGTGGCAGGTCACTTTCCTCAGCTGTGGCTGTTAGTACCAAATGCCATTCTGTCTGAGGAAGAGTGTGCTTCTCATTGTTGTAGGCCTCCCTGATTGTGACCGAGGAGCTGCACCTGATCACCTTTGAGACTGAGGTGTATCACCAAGGCCTCAAGATCGACCTAGAGGTGAGTTCTGCAGCAGAATCAGTGGCGTGACTCAGGACAAAAACTGCTGCTGGAATTTTCACTAGAGAAGGTGGAATGATCACTGTTTGCTAAGCACTGTGTTTATTTGTGCTTATTTTCTTCCAAAAAATCCATGGTTTCCCATCTGAAAATAAAGTCTTGCTTAAGTGCCTGGAAGAGATGTATTCGTGTTACCTTTTAATTCTATTTTTCCATGAGCTTTTTGAATTACCCTCATATACTCAGCTTTCAGCAAACTTGGTATGAAAATTTATATTTAGAAATTGATTAAGGCTGACTTTATAAAGTTTGGGCAAAAGAGTCTTAGTCGTCAATGTTTTTAGTATATAGAAAATCATGGCACTTGCATTCTCTTTTCAACTTTAAGGTATATTTTTAAATTAAGATAAACCTGGAAAAGCAGGAATCCTAGTCTTTGATTTCTGAGATCTGTTTCGTGGGAAGATACAGCTTCAATTCTTGGAGAATGTCTTCCCGGTCTTAGAAGCAGGGATTCTGTGGCCTGTGAGTCAGGCTTTGAGCAAGTCAGATTTTGCAAGTTGCTGGTGACATTCCAACAGCAGCCTGAATCCTGTGGCCCATGTTCAGCATTCTTTCCACTCTGGGTGTTGAGCTGACTCAGTCGCACTCCTCGCCTAGAGTTGGCAGCTGGTGTGGCTTATGGCGAGTCCTTCCACTTTGAACCCTGTGAGATACAAGTGAAGAGATTTTTGAAGCTGTGAGAACCCCTCTGCCTTTCCAACTCACTTTCCACTTACTCCACAGACCCACTCCTTGCCAGTTGTGGTGATCTCCAACATCTGTCAGATGCCAAACGCCTGGGCATCAATCCTGTGGTATAACATGCTGACCAACAACCCCAAGGTTCGTGCCCCAAGCTCTGTGACCATCTTCTCTTGTGACTTCTCAGTACCTCGTGCAGGCCGTTAGCACCACCCTCTCATCTAAATGAGCAAATGTGTTATTTTCAATAGAACGTGAACTTCTTCACCAAGCCCCCAATTGGAACATGGGATCAAGTGGCTGAGGTGCTGAGCTGGCAGTTCTCCTCCACTACAAAGCGAGGGCTGAGCATCGAGCAGTTGACCACACTGGCAGAGAAGCTCTTAGGTCTGTGTTTGACCTCTTCCCCCTCCTACCCTCCTCAGAAGGGGAATCTGGCCCATGGGGCTATAGGTTCAGGCAATGTTTACTGACCTGCCTTGAGCAAGGCACTGTGCTGGTGCTGGGGAAACTGCGCTCCGTCAGGGTGGGGAGTTGGGGCAGAGAAAGTTTGCCTCCTGGTGATCTTTTTTATGAGGTGGGAGGCAGATTTCTTTTGTCTTGGTCGCTCTCACCCTCTCTCTCTAAAGCACTACTCTGTCTAACCTTAGAAGATATTTTAAGTGTTTGTTAGAAGCTGGAGCTAAAGGCTTGACATTCTCTGTCCGTGTCTTTAATAAACTGTAGGCTGGTTTTAAGTATCCCCCAACCCCCGAAAAAAATTTAGAATATTTCATGTGCTACCTGGACCATAAGTACTTTTGTCCTGTGCTGCCACCAAATGCGACCTTAACATCAGCTGTAAGCTTATCAGTGTGTACTGCCGGTCCCCAGACCACCACACAAGGCTCAGAAGGGCAGGGGGGCTTGATACATCATCCACTACCTCTGCTGGGCTAAATAACTTGGTTGAGTCAAATGATCGGGTTGAGGGGCTGGCTGGTTAGCTCACTTGGTTAGAGCTGGTGTTATAAAACCAAGGTCAAGGGTTTGGATCCCTGTGCAAAAAAAAAAAAGATGGGGTTGGCATGTGTGTGCACATGTGAACATTCACAACAGTGGCAGCCTTTAGATACATGACAGCCAGTGCTTTCATGGCCCATTGTGGGATGTGTGTGTGCTCTCTTTTAAGAAATAAGAGCTTGATTCAAAGCTGAACATTTACTACTTTATTCTTTTTTTTTCCTTTAGGACCAGGTGTGAACTATTCAGGGTGTCAGATCACATGGGCTAAATTTTGCAAAGTAAGCTATCTTATTAAGTCCTTTGGTCGCCTCTTAGGAGTGGGAGTGGGAGTGCTCACCTGCAAGGTTGCTGTGGAGGGCTGTGGGCTCGAAGTCTCTGAACTCTTGGTCCAGTGCTCTACACCCTGAGGAAGGAAAGGTTTGGGATGGTGTTAAACTTTCCCATTATTCTTTTCTCCAGGAAAACATGGCCGGCAAGGGCTTCTCCTTTTGGGTCTGGCTGGACAATATCATTGACCTTGTGAAAAAGTACATTCTGGCTCTTTGGAATGAAGGGTAGGTTGAAACTCTTCCGTCTGGCAGAGAGTGTACTGGTGTAATCAAGTCACCTGCTCTGTCAGCAAGCCAGTGGCAGGGATGCCCTGTTGGCTCAAACGACATTGTTGCTGTTTGGCTCCAGGTACATCATGGGCTTTATCAGTAAGGAGCGGGAGCGGGCCATCTTGAGCACCAAGCCCCCAGGCACCTTCCTGCTAAGATTCAGTGAAAGCAGCAAAGAAGGAGGTGTCACCTTCACCTGGGTGGAAAAGGACATCAGTGGTAAGCGGGGGCTCCTTCTACCCCCTCTGGTGGCCAGTGGCTCGTGACTGCCCCCTGCTGGGCTGCCTCACCCGCACTTGTAAAATACATTTGGTTGACTCGTTTTCTCTTAAATTCTGACTGAAGGATTGGTTTGCCAGCTGGTTTTGCTGGCTCCAGTGGCCAATATTTGTCTAGAAATTTGTAATTTACCTTTTATTTTTCATCCACTTTATTTACTTTGTTAATAGACCTTATGCAAGTCGTTATATGCAAGTTTATTGCCTGTGACCCAACTGGATGGTCTCTCTAAAGGCCAGCCTGAACACTTCCACAGTACCAGGTCACTGGGCAGGATGTTTGGGTCTCAAGCACTAGGTTGGCATAATACGTCTTTCCCCACCAAGGAAAGATACATTGGGTAATTTTCTCTGTGATTCCTAAGGCATAGGTTCCATTATCTTTCTTCTCATTCCCATGACAGGTAAGACCCAGATCCAGTCGGTGGAACCATATACCAAGCAGCAGCTGAACAACATGTCATTTGCTGAAATCATCATGGGCTATAAAATCATGGATGCTACCAATATCCTGGTGTCTCCACTGGTCTATCTCTATCCTGACATTCCTAAGGAGGAGGCATTTGGAAAGTATTGTCGGCCAGAGAGCCAGGAGCATCCTGAAGCTGACCCAGGTAGTTGTTGATTTTCCACGTTTTCAACATTTACTTCTTGGGAAAATTAGAAATTACAGGATCCTTGGAGAGTAGACAGGCAAATGCCCAAATAACCTGGGGGATCTTTATTCCTCATTATGGGAAAGGACTTTGTAGTGAGTGCTTTTGGGATGACTGATGGAATTCAAGAGAAGAGAAGAATCACAATCACTAGTCCCTGCCCCACAGAGAGTATACCAGTCTAAAGGGGGAAATAGTACACACACACACACACACACACACACACACACACACACACACACACACACACACACACAGAGCGTGCCTAAAACTGTGAAGAGAGAGTGAGCACAGAGTTCTTTAATAACAGGATGCCCAGCTAGCCCAGCACGTCTGACGTAGTAGATGCTAGAAGGTTTGAAACTCAGACTGGAGTCTAGCACGCTTCCCCTTCCCCATCACGAAACCGTGTTAGTGGTGTCCAGTGGGCTGAGGAAGTGTTTCTGGTAGGAATGACTGCTAGCAGCGTTGGAGCATGACCTGCAGAAGAGTGGGGGAGTGTTGTGTTTGAATGGATGTTTGAAGTGGTGGGAGGGGTGTGGACTTGTTATTTAGAATGTGCATCTATTGAAAATGAGGTACATTTTCATGTGCAAAAGCATATGTGTTTATAGGTTATATGTAAATTATTTTATATTAAACCTGTAATCTCTGGGGCTGTCCTCAGCACGGAGGGGGCAGCCCTCTGGTCTCTTCCTGTTCAGCACTTGCTGCTTTGACTCTCTGTTCTCTGTCCAGATGGTAATGAGGAGTCTCTGATTTGCCACTCCATTTTTATTTAACTTTTTTTCCCGTCTCGCCAGTTATTTAACTTTTCTTAATTGTAGAGCCAATAGTGAGCTCTTTAAAGTGATCCTTTGGGGTTAACTCCTGTGCCCTGGTTGCTTCTTAAAATGTTTTTGTCCAGGGCCGAGCCCATGGTGCACTCGGGAGAGTGCGGTGCTGGGAGCGCAGCAGCAATCCCACCGTGGGTTCGGATCCTATATAGGGATGACGGTGCGCTCACAGCACTCACTGGCTGAGCACAGTGCGGCCGGTCTTAAAAAGGACAAAAAAAAAAAGTTTTTGTCCAAATAGCACACCCCGACCCGCCAACTTCTGTTCCACTTTTTCACGGGGATTCTCTCTGAGGGGTGGGGAAGAATGAGGCTGAGAAGAGGGCACGGGAGCTCGCTGACTGCTGACGTTCCTCTTTCCTTTGTTCTAGTGTCGAGCTTCGTCCATGCCCTAGACAAGTTTAACTCTCACTTCCTGTCTGCTGCTTATCTCTCTTTCCACCTTGTGCTTCAGTTGGGAGATCTGTGTATCAGCACCTGTCACACTACCCTTTGTTCCCTCTGCAGAGGACATTTAGGTCCAAGTGCTGGTCCTTTTGACTAATTTTGCTTTCAAGATCCCAGTTCCCGGTCTGAGGCTGCCTCCCCCATTACCATCGCTGTCCTATGGACTGGAGGCATGGTCCTTTCCTGCCAGGGACATCCACGTTTCCTCAGGGGCAAGGCGCTAGCTAATCATGAGCAAGGAACTAATTGCTTGAGTAATCTGCCTGCCTCTGGAGAGGCGGGTGGAAGGAGTGTGCATGAGGGGTCACTGTGAGCATGGCGGGGGGCGTAAGTGGAGTCCCTGTGTTAAGGTGGGAGTCTGCAGGGAGTTGAGCCTGCCACATTTCCATCGCATTGGGTTTTATGCTGTGAGAGTCTCTCAGAGATAAATCATCTTCCCAGGACTCCTCCCCTTTCCTTACCTTACACTGGAAGCCCACACCGTGTTTCCTTATGTCTTGAGGGAGAGGTTCTGAGCCACTTACAAACTAGATAAAATACATTTACACCTAAACTACATTTTTTGTTTGTTTGTTTAAAGTACATTTCAATCTTAGTTCTCCTTTGCTTCTTCTGTTCCATCTCGGTCTGAAGCTGTTTTTCTCAACCATTTTGATGACTAGGGATCTAAATCCTTTTCTGTCTAGGTGTCAGCTCCCCTCAGGTTTGGGCTCAAATGGTTGGATTTATAAGACACCAGACACCTGCCTTAGTAGCTCCCTTGGATTCTGCTCTGAATGGTCTGTTTCTTGACCAAGAACAAACTCAGAGGGCAGTCTAAGGATCGCTTTACAGCGCCTTCTCAGATTGTCATGCCTTCTGATCCCTCAGTTTCTCCATAAGCCCCAGGCTTTGGGACGGTGCTTCTCTCAGCCCCACTCCACCTTGCCCCATGCCTAAGTGGTCTCTCTCCTGAATTCCCCAGATTTCATACCAGTGTGCCCAGGGCTCTTTGACAGCTCGGTATAAGCATTCATTGTCTAAAATTCATTTATTCCAACGCTCACATTTCTTTCTTTCTTTTTTCTTTCTTTTTTTTTTTTGGTGGCCAGTATGGTGATCTGAACCCTTGATCTTGGTGTCGTAACACTGTACTCTAACCAACTGAGCGAATGCTCACATTTCTAACTATAGAACAAGAATTATAAACAACAGTGATCATAGGCCATCGGCTCCCCACTCTCCCCCCTCTCATTTTATACATGAGAAAGAGCCTTGCCCCAGGTCTCGTAGCTATTGAAGATAGACCTCAGCCCAGGTCTCCTGTCTTCTAGTTGAGTAGACTGAATGGCACCACAAAAACATCTTCCCTGCATATAGAGGCTGCTTTTTGTTTGGTATATTTATCCAACTGGGAAGTTACTAGTGCCCTCATCTAAAAATATAATAGAGGCAGATGAGTGCTGATAGGAATAGGAAGTGTAATTCTTGGCTTTGGAACCACAAGCATTAGCACTCTCCACGTTTTTTTAAAGACTCAGTGACGTTGGTATCTGGGCTGGACACCATGCAAAGACTGCATAGGCCTGGTTCCTGCATGCAGAGAAGTTATCTAAAAGATATGACCAGGCCAGAATGGAATCCTCAGACCACATGGAGGCGGTTAAACGCTCACATTAATCTAGGGAAAGAATGAACACAAAGCTGGCATTAGTCTAGGCTCAGGTGTATGAGGGTATGCTAAAAAGTCTCTTTAGCTCAGGAAAACTTTGTGGAAAGAATTGAACTTCAGAGGTGCAAGTGCCTAGGACATCAAATATTATGCGATTGCAGCGTGCAACCCTAAGGGGCAGGTGGAAGTTTCCAAACAACCTCTGTGTAAGGATGGAGTGAATTTCAAGTCAGCCCTGGTGAGACCAGATGGCTTCTTCCTGCCCCGCACTCACAGTGAGGTCACAATCAGTAAGCCCAGATTTCTTCTTCCCAGGTGCTGCTCCATACCTGAAGACCAAGTTTATCTGTGTGACACCGTAAGTGGCTTCCCTTCCCAAATTTGCGTTCATTTCTAATGTCCTCAGTTGTCCCCCTGGGAATAGGATGCTGGGTGAGAGTTATCCTGTGATGGGTTGGAAGCCCTTAGACTGTGTTTAGTACTCAGTGTGACCTTGTGTGTTTAAAAAGCTTGAGCTTTTACTTTTCTGTTTGAAACCAGAGTTTGATGGCTTGTGTGTGTATGTTCTGTTCTTTTTTTTTTTCCCCCTCCATTGTGTCTTGTCAACCCGGCCCTTTCCCCTCCTGCTGCTCCCCATTTCCTACAGAACGACCTGCAGCAATACCATTGACCTGCCGATGTCCCCCCGCACTTTAGATTCATTGATGCAGTTTGGAAATAATGGTGAAGGTGCTGAGCCCTCAGCAGGAGGGCAGTTTGGTGAGTATTTGGTTGGTAGACTTTGTCCCTATGAGGGAAATCAGTCCGCTTCGTGTAATGCTCATGTGTACAGAGCCAAGAGCTGGTCACCTGGATTGGTAGGAGGTTCTAGAGCAGCGCTCTCCAGTAGAAATGGAATATACGCCACATGTGTAAATGTAAATTTTCGAGTGTCTACATTAAAAACAGTAAAAAGAAACAGGTGAAGTTAGTTTTACAGCATGTTTTATTTACTCCTGTAAACCCAGCATACTGTCATTTCAAGGAACAACGAGTGAGGTGTTTTTCCATTCTTTTTTTCGTGCTGAGTCTTTGAAATTCACTGGGCTTTTGACAGCTACGGCACACCCCATTTGGACTGGCTGCTCCTCAGCTGCTCGGGAGCTGTCTGCGGCTTGAGGCTGCCATGTTAAACTGGGCAACCTTAGGTCTTGTTTAAACATGGAGAGCTGGGAATGGGTTAAGGTAGAGAGGAGACTGAGCCCTTCCAGAGGCAGGTCCTGGAAGGAGAGTAAGTCTATTTTTTTTTTTTTTTTTAACCTGTCTTGGCCTTAAGAGACAAGAGCTTGGATAGCAGTGGTGGCCTGAGCCCTGTCCTCTGAAGGGCTGGGGGGTGGGGTGTCCCCTGCCAGCTACAGGGATAGGCAACTGAACTAGCTCTCCCTGTCTGTCCTTCCAGAGTCCCTCACATTTGACATGGAGTTGACCTCGGAGTGCGCTACCTCCCCCATGTGAGGCGCTGAGAACGGAAGCTGCAGAAGAGATATGTCTGAGGCACCTACCTGTGTTCCACCGCCCCTTACACAGCCAAACCCCAGATCATCTGCAACTCCTCACTTTGTGGGTCCAGATTTTTTTTTTTTTTTTTTACTTCTGCTATCTTTGAGCAATTCAGGCACTTTTAAAAATAGAGAAATGAATGAATGTGGGTGATATGCTTGTATCTAAATGCAAATAGGAATGTATTCTCTGAGACCGTGGTCAGGGTACATGGAACGGGGTGGCTAGAGGGAGAAAAGGAAATCTCTTGTGTGTTTTTGTTCCCCTGCCCTCCTTTCTCAGCAGCTTATTGTTGTTGTTGTGTTGTTAGACAAGTGCCTCCTGGTGCCAGCAGCGTCCTTCTGCCTATTTCTGTAAGCTCGTGCCACAGGCCGCCTGTACTGCACCCTCCCGGCATCGCACTTTTAATCTTGCTAACATCCAAATAGAGAATGGGACGATCTAAGCCCCTAGGTTTCTTTTTTAAATTGAAGAATAGTAATAATACTTAAAGGGCAAAAAACTGTATCAGCATAGCCTTTCTGTATTTAAGAAAACCTAGTAAACAGCCTCCTTGGTGCTTTAAGCATTCAGCTTTCTTCAGGCTGATAATTCACATAAACCCTGAAATGAGCTTCAGGTCAAACCCTTAAAATACATCTGAAGCTGTGGCTTGCCCTTTGGTTTGAGGAGAACCTAAACATTTTAGAGTTTTTTTATAAGCAGATTTTTATTTTCCCTTGTAATGTGTTGGCCTTTTAGTGGGTAAGGCTGGGCAGAGGGCACTTAAAACCTTCCCTCCCTTTCTCTCTGGACTTTAGCTCCTGTTCCAGAACCTAGGTTGTTTCTGTGGGTGCCTTATCAGGGCTAGGATGATTCTGGCTTCTTTCCCCCCAGTTCACTTGACTCTACGAGTGGCATGTCTCCTTCCAGTGTCTAAAGGTCCTTTGTCCTGTTTGCTTTAGGAATCCTGGTCTCAGGACCTTATGAAAAAAGGAAAGAGTTACAGGTGAACAAGACTCAGACTATGGGGCCCCAGCGAAGTGTCTAGTTGAGCTCAGGGAAGATGGTTCTTATCCAGTTTCTTGGTGATTTCTAGCAGCACCTGTAATCACTTCTTCACTTGGCCAGTACAGGGCAAAGGCTGACTGATAAACTCGAGGTCTGCCCCTCGTGTGAGGGGCATACGCCTGGCCTCCCTTGGGGCTGGTAGCTCTCTCCTCGCCATTGGGGCCCCACATGTGAGGCATCACAGCTTGAGTGCCTGCCCCTCCTTTGGCCTTTGTGGCTGCCTGCCAGCCTCCACCAGCCAGCTCACCCTCATCGTGCATCTGGGCGCACTTGGCAGTGTGCTGGGTGGGCTTCCTCTAACCACAGGCACGGCTAGACTTGGTAACTTAAAACCACCTTGCCTCTGTGGATCAGAGTTTCTGTTCTGTTTGTTAGACCCAAATTAGCTAGTTTCTGAATTAAGGGGGTAAGGGCCTTCTCTCCAAAGTGGCCATCCCTGTCCTTGTACCCAGAAATGGTTGGCATGTAGTACTGAGCCCTCCCCTCTCCAGCAGCACTCTTAGTTCATAATAAGCTTAACTCACACACTGAGAGAATATTTAGAAAGATGAGACTTACTATTGCGTTTAAGTCATTGGGAACCGGGAACAGGGTTTGGACTTCTCTGGAGCAGATGCTGTAAAATTCTTTACAGGCTTTAGGTAGCATGCACATCTGCTTTTAACTGATTGTAGCAAAAGTTCTGAGAGGAGCTGAGACTTGTCCTGGCCCCTCCCTTAAAGAACGGAGTCCTCAGGACTTGCCCACTTCTCCACTGCCCCTGCCTGTCCCCAGCCCAGCCAAGGGACTCCCATGGTTCTCTTAACCTACCTATACAGTGGTTTGTAAGCTGCTCTCAGCCACTGCATTCAAATTCCAATGTATACTTCATAGTGTAAAAATTTATATTATTAATGGGTTTTGGTGTTTTTTGTTTTTTGTTTTGTATATTGCTGTAACTACCTTAACTTCCAGAAATAAAATTTATATAGGAACCGTTTGATAGCATGGCAGCTCTGTCTGTGGCTGGTGGAGGCTCCCTTCTCCCCCGCTTAAGTTCTGAGGGGGCCTCACACACAGGCAGAACCTGGGATGGCAGCACAGAAGGGTCTTGAGAGAAGGTGGCTGCCCCGGCGCTGGGGCTGAAGGTACCTTAGCCTCATTCCTGAGTTGATGCTGGGCTCCTGTCTGAGGTTAGCCACCAGCCTCGAGGTAAGGGGTGACTGGAGGAGCAGAGGGTCACAATCCAACAACAGCTAGTGTCAGCATGGAGGCCTCCTTCCGCCAACCTCTCCCTCCCTTTACCCCCTCCCAAAGCTGCTGCGTCCTGTCTGGGGTCAGATAAGCCACCTAAGGGGGGCTGGGGTGTAGATACAGTGCTCTCGCCGCACCCCCCAAGCCTCCCCTTCCACACTTGGCTCCATTATCACTTTCTCTTCACTCAGTGGGGACAACACGTAGACGCTTCACTGGCTGACTGTTGCGGGGCCCCTGGGCAGTCAGTGGTGATAATTGAAGGAAGCGTGCACCGTGCACCGACATTAGCTCTCACTCTGCTTCTCCCCACCCCCTGCACTCGCGCTGAGTGCCATGGAGATGAGACGAGCTGAGCCTGTGGGTGAGATACACTCCTTCCCCTGCAGAGATGGAGCAGGAGATTAGTGCCTTCCCGCCCCTGCCAGCCCTGCCCTGGGCCGCGGTGACTCCCTGGGTGCAGGCTGCAGGCTCTGTCCCCCCTTCCCTCGCTCTGAGCTCTGAAGAAACCTGCCCGCAGGTCCTTGCTCCCCAAACCCCTGCCCCAGGGAGTGTGTGTTCCTGAGTCTAAGCCCCGTCCCCCACCCGCATGACAGCTTCTGGACTGGCTGCAGCTTGGTCCCAGGGGGTCCCGATGGTGAAGCCAGTCAGTCCTCCTCTCTCTGCCCAGTCTCCCTCACCATCTGGACCAACCGTTTGAAAACATAGCAGCAGCTGGATGGTGCCACCTGCTGGTCTCTGGTTAGAGGCCAGGGGAGGATGGGACTGCTGCTGAGGCTCTCACAGCTGTCCCTGGCCCCTGGCCCCAGAGGGTTGCAAATCACCTTGGCCCTGGCTCTCAGCTGACAGCTTCAAGACTGCTTACAGCTTTGGCTGATGAGGAGAAATCTGGATCAGAGTTCTACCAGTGATTCCCAAGACCTTGAGTCCCTGCTTTCTTGGGAATGTGTGTCCCCTAACCCAGTTCTTTAGCCTTCTGAAAAGCACTGACAGTATTCTGGGAGGTCAGCATCTTTTAAACCACAGAAAAGGGAGCAGAGTTGTAGCTGCAGGCTAAAAATTCCAGCAGCTGCCACAGGAGGGAGGGACCAAAACAACTCCAGCTCCAGGAAGACTCCCGCCAGCTCCCCAGACCAGGAGCCACACCAGCAAACTTATGAAAAAAATATTTTATTCAAAAACACTGTTTACACAAATGTGTGGCCTATGTACAAAGAACAAAAGAATCCCTCTTCTCGGCCCCACCTCCCTTCAGAGATGTTTAAACCTGGGACTCCCAGCCTTCCGCGCTCGCTGCCCTGGCTGCATGTGGCATGGCCTCTGAGGGAGGACTGGGCAAGGCTGGGAGCAAGGCCTGCTCAGACCATAGCTGGTTATGCAACAGCGTGAGGCCTCTTCCAGATTCCACCTCCCAGCAGCATCCAACGAGAGCGGCTCTGCCCCACACTCCACATGCCACAGGCATGCAGCAAGTGGCTGATCTGCTGCTGTCTCTTGCCGTGTTTTTTTTTTTCCAGGAGGGAGGGGATCAACCCTACAAGTCCCAGGCCCCCTGTTCACCCACCACATCCTGGACCAGTCTCTCCCTCCTCTCCTGTAAGCAAGGCTGCAAACAGGCAGGGACAGAAGGCCGGGGAGGGGATATATGGTCACGTAGCATGTGGGCAATGGAATCACAGACTCAAAGCCCAAGCCTCCCCCCTCCACCACAAGCTCAAGGACAAGAGACCAAGAAAGTACAAACTCAGAGCAGCTCTGACAGCTCTGACTCAAATTAACCCAGCTCTACCTTGTTAAGGACGTGGCCATGCCCTAGACAAGCTCTGAGAGTTTGCAAAAAGCCTGGAGTCCACATTCAATAAAGTATAAAATATTACTCAAGCATGAACCCCAATCTCTCTCCTGAGGGAAAGCATCAATTAGACCAACACATGTGCACGCGGACAGATGCGTGTACATACGTGTACACACACACGCTTGGGGGCAAAGCTGCTCACTCAGGAGTAACACTTAAGCTTAGAGACATTCCCTGTCTCCCTTCCCCTTCTTGAATAATTTCATTCAAAAAGCTGCTAAGCAGATAAAGGATGTGGGAGGAACAGGTTTGCCTGCTTTGAGTACCTGCAACAACGGAAGCTCAGTCTCTTCCACGACAGAGACCCAGTGGGCTCTCAGATGTCTTGATCTGAAGAAGGCGGCTGCTACTGCAGCCACAGATCACGACTGCAGAGGCGAGGCAGGCACACACAGCGCGCACGAACAACACACACGCACGCGTACCCAAGCTGCCTGCAAAGGCGTCAGCGTGCACAGCAATACTAAAGTCACAATATGACCTCTCCACATTGAATACTGCTGCCAAAGAGAAGTATGGGATTCAAACACTCATGAGAGGGGGCCTCTGGCAGTGGCGAAGAGACCAGCGGGGGCGGAGAGGTGAGGGTCAAGACTACCCATGGGTCGGCGTAAGAGATCCTCCACGTGCCGGGCTACATCCATGGTCTCATCCAGGTCGAATTCTCCATCCTGGTCGAGGACGGGGTCAGGACTGGTAAAGAGAGGGACGTCAGAGGGAACTGGCATGTCTCACAGCCCCAAGGTCTTGGGGGACAGCCCCCGGCTGCTCCCCACTCAAACCAGAGTCTCATGGGGACAGGGCCAGTTCTGGCCAACCCCCCCCACGAGCTGGGTAGCAGTCACTGGCTCCGTGGGAGACACCCCACTTCTATTTGCATCTCTCGCTACCTCATTGAATGACCTCAGGGAGTTCATTTCCCCTCTCCTTGTCCTCACTGGCTGGGCCAATGAGCCCTGCCCACCTGCAATGCTATTCAGTTAAATCGGAGGCAGCACGCCATGCACTGAGCAACGTGGCCTTGTTAGGAAACTTGCTCTGGGCCACCTGCCTGGCAGGTAGCGGAGGCAGGATTGGAATCTGGGTCATTGTGACCCCCAAGCCTGTGGTGGTCCCACTGTAGCTTGCTGACACCCCTACATCCAGCCTAGGCCCACCCACAGCTCAGAAGACAATTAATTCTCTACCCTGTTCCACCCGACTCCTGAGAACAACCACCCCACGAACAGCTACCCTGTATCAAGCCCTTATGACAGCCCCACCTGTGTAAAGGCTTTACCTGCACTGGCTCACTTAATCCTCACCGCAATCCATGAGGTAGGTGTTTATGACTCCTTTTACAGATGAGGAAACTGAGCACTAGAGAGGCTCAGTAATTTTCCCAAGGTCACACAGCTAGTCAGTTACCAGAGTCAGAACTGGACCCTGCTACGTGTAGCTTCAAAATGCTCTATGCCTTTTCCTGGCCGACACTGCCTTCCCTGCCCAGGCTGGGTGGTCTCAGACCTAGAGGAGCTCTGGGTTCCTCCGTCCACCAGCCCGCCAGGGGTCCAGCCTGAGGCCAAGTCCCCAGCTCCTCCCCTGTGGACACCCCCGAGAACACAACCTACTTCTGCGGGTACATGTTGTAATGGGCCTGGGGGCACACCGCTGGGGAGGGGGCCTGGTCCATGTAGGTGGCGCTGGCCCCGGCATCGGCTGACACATTCACAAACCTGCAGAAGGAAGCAGAACAGAGGCGCAGCTGCCAGGGAGACCGGGCGGCTGCTGACCTGGGCAGGGACCCAGGGGTGTCTTTATGTCTTTTTGGGGTGTAGAAGCCCTGGGGCTCAGCTGCAGGAGTGGGGCCCTGGGGACTGGCCACAACGTGGTCTAGCCCAGTTCTCTCCCCAGGGCTGGGCCAGATTTCTTGGGGGGCTCTGGAATCGGAGGGGCGGCACGGTCTGGGGAAGGACAGCTGGGAGAAGAGGCAGCAGGGGACCCAGAGCTGGACCCTGGACACTTACTCAGGGACCACTTGCTTGATCTGTGGCTTCACGTACCCGTCAACTGCTTTAGCTGCCAAGGGGAGAACAGTGGTGAGAAGCAGAGTGTTCAGGAGCTCCAGAGTGGGCTGTCAGCCCACCTCCCATGCAGCCTGCCTTCTGCCCCCATCACCCTGGGGCCTTAGGAGAGATGAGATTTCCCCAGAATTCCCAATAAACACCTGCTGATGGACCCAGCCTGAGGGTCACTGAGAACCCTGGCTTCATTCCCATCCCTTTTCCTGGTTTCTTTTCTGGCCATTTGCTTTCTCCCTCCCTGCCCCCACCCCTGCCAAGGAAATAGAATCAACAAGCAGCAGCAAATGCAAGTGATGCGTTGGGGACAGGTTGAAGAGGAAAGACCTGTCCATTTTGCCTCTTGCATTCAACTTGGGGGAAGATTGAGGCTGGGGAGTGGTGAAGCAGTTGGTTAAGATGGGGGAAGAGCATCATCTGTCGGTTGGATTATCCCCTCCTCCCCCACCTCCTCCTCCAGCACTGCCCCCTCTTCCTCCAAGGGTGCAGAAGTGAGAATACAAGCAGCTTTTCACTTTGCAGAGAAGACAGCTAGGACAGGTTTCGCTTTCCCTCTCCTCAACTGTGAGCCCTGAAATCCTCTCCACCGTCCCATGGACCAAAACCCACCGGGCTCTTCTTCAGGAGCCCCCCACTGCCCAGCTCAGGGCCAGCAGGCAGCAGAGCCCGGGAGCAGGACCCACCGAGCACAGGAGTGTAGTACTTGGAGAAGACCTCATCCTTGGGGCGGTCAGGAAACACGTAGATGAGGTAGCTCAGGTCCCCCAGCCGGTCGGCCAGGGAACGAATGGAGAAGTCCCGCGTAGTGAACGGCTTCAGGTTCCACAGGTTGCGGTCCGCTGTGAAAGGACAAGCTCATCCCACAACCTCCCGCCAGCAGGAGGAAGACGAAGGCTGCGGGGTTTTAAGGCAGGCTCACAGAGAAACCGGGCTTCTCCTACCCTGCCCTGCAACCCCACCCGCGTGCTACTTGGTGGCGGTGCAGGGAAGAAAGCAGATGCAGGAACGTTCTACTCAGCACACTGGGCGAGTAGATGCCAACAAGGCTGGGTCAGGGCAGAGGAGAGACAGCAAGTGCCGGAGGACTGGCCCGGCAGGTCTGGAGTCTACAGGGCCAGGGATTTGGGGCGCTCCAAAACAGAACACGATGGGAAGGGACACATTTCCAAGCAACACTCCTCCCACGCTCTGAGCAAAGCCCCTGCCTTTCCCAGGGGGTACTCTCTAAGGACGCAGGCCTGACGGAGAGTGCGGAGCATGGGAGTGGGGGACAGGGCTCCTGGAGCTAGAGAGTGGGAAAAGCGGGCACTCACGGGAATCAAACTTCCAGGCAATGGTGATGCCCCCAATTTCTGAGTCGCTAAAGCGCAACAAGAAGGTCCCATCGGGCTTGTTGATGAGCAGGTCATGGGCCTGTTGCTTATTCACAAAACCTAGGATGGCCCTGGGTGCATGGAGCAGTTAGTGTCACTGCTGGGCCAGCCACCACTGTCCCCTGAACTCGCAGCCCCCGACCCTGTGTCCCCATTCCTCACCCGTCATTCCAGTGGGGCTTGTGATGCTTCTTCAACACCTCCATCACCCCGTCAAACCACTGCCAGAAGGTGTAGTTCCAGCCCGGCAAGTTCTCCTGAGGGCCCCCAGGAAACCCCAAGTCAGTGCCCTCTTGCCCCCATCCAGACCTTCTCTCAATTCCCCAAGCCGACTTGCCCACACACTCCAGCAGCCCATAGACTGACATGGGCCCCCATTCACGTCCTAGGGAACCAGAGAGTAAACTAGCCTCGTGCTGCTAAGACACAGGGGGCCGAGACCATCCTATGGGTGGGGTGGGAGGTATAAAGTATTGTCCAGGCTGAACGGGACCTCCAGAGTCATTCCTGCCCTGTCCCCTCATTGTACAGATGGAGCAACTGAGGCATAGAGACTGGAAGGGGACTGGCAAATGAGTTAGCAGATCTAGGACTAGAACCCAAGGATCCTCATTTCTGGATCTGGTTCCTTCCATGGTCCTACTTTGGCTCTCAAAGCTGAGCACAATTCCTCGTGGCCCCTGCCTGCATTTCCTGGAGCACAAGCCCCCATCTCTCCTGCTGTAGGAGATGGTGGTTGGGGGCGGAGAGTGGGGCGCTAGCCCAGGCAGGTGAGGTGGGGAGGAGTGACAGGACGCCAGTGGCCCCAGGCAGGCAGCTGGCTGGGCCCCTCACCCTGTTGAACTGGGACCAGGACACCGACATGCTGCTGTAGTCCTCCAGGTGGCTGCTGCTGCTGTTGAACAGTTTCTGCGCCAGGAACACGAGGTTCTCCTTGGTCAGGCCCCGGTTGCTCTGCACTTCGGCCTTGAATTTCATGTTGAGCGCCTCACACAGCTGCGGCCACAGCACTTTGTCAGGCACGGCGAATGGCACCCTGCCCTGAGAGGGAGGGGAAACAGTGCAGATTGGGGGAGTTGGAAAGTTTACACACACGCGCGCACACGCACACACACGCACACGCTCACACGCGCATGCACACACACCCGCACACGCACTCACACGCACGCACACACACACACGCACACAAACACACACACACAGTCACATGCACACACACACGCACACACACGCGCGCGCACGCACACAATCACACGTGCGCGCACTCACACGCGCACATGCACACACGCGCATGCACACACGTGCACGCACACGCACGCACACACACGTGCACGCACACACATGCGCGCGTGCACACATGCACACACACGCACACTCACACACATGCACACACACGTGCACGCACGCGCTCACACGCACACGCACGCGCAGACACACGCACACACACTCACACACACACTCAGATAAGAGACAGAGGGGCCTGAGAAGATTCAGAAAGGAGACACAAACACAAAGGGAAAGAAAGGCAGGGGCAGGGGAAGCGGAGGGGTGGGCATGCATGGATAGAGACCCAGACCAGGGGACTGAGGACAGAGATCAGGGAC